AAGGTAAAAAAATTATAACAACCAGTCCTTAAATTTATATTTCATGTCCCTTTTATTTTGTATACTCTTTATTTACATAAAGATTTTGTGTTACATAGAGAACGGTCAGTTGTGCACAGAGAGCCACTGAATATGCCCCAAAGCTTGGAGACTTCACCTCGGCTGGAGAACAAAGAGATTGAGATAAGTGAGTTGATTTGACCTGTATTTTGATTGCATTGGGCAAAATATAGTTTTAATCATGTGAACTTGTACTCAGCACTGCAGAAATACACTTGCCCACTCACTGTTGCAGTGAGATGCTTGATCAGTACATTTTAGCCACATTTTAAGCATTTTAAAACCATGCTGATTTCTTATGCATAAGCTACTTCAGTTACTTGTATATTTCTTTCATTACCTCCAGCATAGGCTATCCAGTTCATTGTCAGCACTAAAGAAGTACAGCATAGTGTATGTCCTTTCTGTGCACAGTTTCTAAATACAAGTAGAGAGTAAAGCTTCACTAAATATTATTGATGTTATCAAATTAAGAAGTATGAGATAGTGGTGCATAGATAGAGGCTGATAGATGGCTCTTGTGAACACAGTAAAGAATCTGGGTTTGGTAAAAGGCAGGGAATTTATCAGCTTCTCAAGAAGGACTCTGCTCTATGGCATTTGTTGTTCACCTTTTGCATTTAGCCATTATTCCTTATAATTAGTCAGTAGGGCAAGGATTATAACATGAATTGTTTGCTGTTGCAGAAAAGGAAAATTTGAGTAACACAAATGAAGAGTATGTTCGTACGAGGAGAAAAGCTGCTCCAGTAAGTTTAAAGGAAGTGTCATTGAGAAGGTACATGAAATATTTGAAATGACAAATTGAAAAGTGTGATTTTTAAGTAGTACCCAAGAATATTCAGGTTTTAGAAATTGTGTCTGTATATTCAGACAACACTTTAGGAAGAATTCCTTTTCACACACTAGCTTTGTTTACATCCTATGTGCTCACTCTGCTTCACCAGCCCATTTAACATTTTGGAAGATCAGACGGCAAATGTTAACTTCTCAGAACACTGACTTTATTTACAGACTGAATATAAACTCTTACTGATGAATTTCATTGGTTCATTGAATGTAGCGTACAGAATTATTTCTTCATAGTGGCATACATATGTTGTAAATCTGATGGCCTTGTGCCTGAGACTGACTGAATATTATATAATTTGAAGGTGTCACAGCAACTAGACTGAATAAAATATTGTCAGACAATGAGACGTGTCAGTTGGTTATACATCACATCAGATGTGATGACATCAGAACCCTGATGGTGGGGATGGAGATGGTTCCCAAAACGTTGGTCACTTCATGTAACCATTTGGCGTAACTGATTACCTGAGAAGATTTTATGCATATTCTTACCTTTTTTGTGTTTCCCTTTTGTTTGTTTTTTCATCATTTCTGAAGTTTTATAAATATTTTCTGTACAATGAAGTTCTACAATGTTTACCTCTTAAAGTTCTATATAACAAGAAGGAATATTGTAAATTGGGTGATTTAACAGTATGTTAGCACTAATTTGTGTTGGTGAAATGCAAGCATTACCTTGAGGCCAGTTAGTTACTTTGGCAATAAAAATAGAAAGTGACTGGTGAAGCTGGTGATTTAACTTGGCAACTTGAAGTAATTTACCAGTAATGTTGACTGGTTGTGTTGGTTGACCTGCAGGAATATTTCTGGGCTGTTAGATTTTACTAATTTTAACTTTTCACTTTTGTAGTCTTGAAGTGCATTATTTTGAGATGGGTACTAAATTAACTGTGTTAGTAACGGACACTGCCATAAGCAGAATATGTGTATTTCATGGTAGTGAATGAGGTTTGATAAATTTTTGTCTGGTATATTGATATCAGAAAGTAGACTTAGAAGTAATGCAATATTTATTTCTCAGATAATGTCACTGCCATCAATATGATTTATGTTACATGTTTTCCCATCTGTCAGAGTAGAAGTATTTGTGAGTATTGGATCAGGATATGTTTGTTATCAAGGTAGTGATGTGCAGTGTGCCACAGAAAAATGGAACACTTCTATTGTTTATTTAAATTGAATGCTGATTTTTATAATTTGTTATTTCAGAAAAATGCGTCGAGATACCCATTGAATGTTTGATGATCTGAATATTCAAGATATCCAACTTTATGGACAGAAATTTTAATTTCAGGCAGTCTTATAATGAAGTTGTAACATATGAATTATGATTGTGTTATGTACAAACATATGACACATAATTATAAGTCACATCTTCATTATTGAATTGCCTGAAGTCAAAAGGTGGTGCTTATGGAATATTTCTGTCTTCAAGAAAATATGATTCAAAGTACATTGTATTTATGCAGTATTATGTGTTCCTAAATTTCCAGTATGTTTATTAGTCTACATTATGGCTAATTGTTATGATTTATTTAAATATGTTTTGTAACATTATCTGTTCATTTAGCCCTTATGTGATGGTCTACTTGTTCTTTTCTAAATACTATGTCTATTATTACATTTTATCGCCATCTTTTGCCTTATTTCTGATTTTTTATTATTTTATTTAAGACATTCATTACTCTACTGTTTCTAGCATCTGATTTTTTTCCCCAGTATCAGTACATGTCTGCTTTAGGGAATACATTGCCTTCAGTCATTACATTTAAGAGTTCCATAGAAAATGTTTTGTGTTTCAGAAGTAATCATCTTGAGAAAGTGTGATTACATCTGTTAACATTGACATTTATTAGTCAGTTGGTTTAGTTTACAATGTTGGACATAACTTCCTGGTCTTATGTCCACTCTAAATATATTTACATTTGTTATAACGTTGGGGCGTGACTCTAACGCTGCGGAGGTTAAGAATGAATAGGAGCTATACTTCCTCTCCTCCCAAGCACCTCATGGTGTATAGTGGGATAGATTTTTTACTCTTCATTGATAGATACTTATCTGTTCCAGTCCTTCATATAAGTATGTTATCATGCCCTTCCTTTTCTAAAACACATTTGGCTTTCTGAAATGGCACCCCTCTTTTCTATCCATTCATTCAGTCTTCTCACCATTGCTCCCATACAGACCTTCAGTAGTGTTGCAAGCAATAAAATTCCCCTGTAATTAGCTGGGTCTTGCTTGTCCTCTACCCTTTTGTAGCATACTAGTCTTCCAACCTGATGGAAAATCCCATGTTTTGTAAATATTAGTTATTAATTTTACTAATAATTAGTGTAAGACTGAATATCATAAAAATTGACACTTTTATGAAACTTTAATTAAAAAATACATACATACAAGTACAGTAAAACCTCTCTAACTTGGACACTTGCGGTTCCACGAAAATGCGTCCAACTTACGGAGGTGTCCAGGATAGAGGGAAAGGGGAAAATATCCTTTCATATTGTGGTGTAATGACAATGTGGTAATTGTGAAGTATTATGGAGCCCTTCCCAAAAAGGAAATTATTGATAAGAAAAATCAAAGGGGTAAATTAAATTTTTATAACTTTAACTTTTGTTTTCACTAAATTAAACTTACATGGATAAGCTCAAAGAAGGGCACCAATACCTTACGTTTACCGACAATGTATTCTATTTTACATAATCTAACTACTGTAGGCTTGCTTGAATTAAGAATTAATGACAATAGTATTAATAATCTTTTGAACCCCACTCTCATGGTTGCACATTACACCCCAGCCTCAATGAAATTTTAAATGTTCAGAATGTATTTTTTTAATTGTACTTACAGCATTAGCTCAACATATGATATCACTTAATTCTTGTAAAAAAGTCCGTAACAAGACACTGCTTTTTTGCTTTTATCTTTGAATTTGCAGATCCTCTTTCTAATTTTCACCGCAATCCGAATAAAGTTTCAACCATTGCTGGTTGATTATGAGCGAAAGCATGCCGTTCTAATTCTTCCATGCATTGCAAAGCCCTCTGATGTGTAGGTGGTTCTTCGTACATAGATAACTCTTCTTCCTCTGAAGATTCTTTACACACATCGTCACTTGAAGTCATCACTTTGTCTAGCACATTATCGATTGTTCCAGCAACATCGTCGTGAACCTCTAGAATGTTGTCGAACGTTGAAAGAGCTTGGACATCAGGAATTTGGTTGCGATCTCCTCAGGAAGACAGTTTATTTCTTCATGAAAACTGTCTTCTTCCATCCCTTCCTCTTCATCCTCAATGGAATCTGCCATAAATCCTGCATGTCGGAAACACTTTGCAATGGTTTGATGAGAAACTTCTGCCCAGGCACCAAGAATCCACCGAATGGCATCTAAGACTGTAACGCTTCTTGAAAATTCGGTCACGTCTTTGCACTTATCTGCAGCATTGATTAGTGAATGCATTAGTTGCTTCCTGTAGAGCAGTTTCACAGATTGAATAATGCCCTTATCTAGTGGCTGCACTTCGCTGGTCAGATTTGGCGGCAGAAATTGTATACTGACGTTTGAGAGATTTGAACTGACGTGGCTTGTAGCGTTGTCGACTAACAATAATATCTTCCGATTAGCCCGCTTCATTTTAAGGTTGACCTCGTTCAACCACTCAGGATAAATTTTAGATGTCATCCAAGCCTTCTTGTTGTGACACCAAATTACGGGAAGGTCGTCCAATTTCACATTGTTCGTTTTGAAAGCTCTAGGACGTGCAGCATTTACAATAACTACTGGCTTTAATTTCTCTCCTCGCGAATTGCAACATAGCAAAACAGTAATCCGTTCCTTAGATTTCTTCCCTCCTTTACATGTCTCTCTCCTTTCTATTAAGGATCGCGTTGGATGTTGACGGTAGAATAGTCCACTTTCATCCGCGTTGAAAATGTCCTCTTCTGCGTATCCCAACAAAAGGCTTGGAAGTTTGCGTTTCCAATCTTCAGCAGCTTGAAGATCAGCAGAAGCTGATTCGCCAGAAAGGACGTGCAGACTTATGTTATTTCGTTTACGGAAACGATCCAACCAGCCATTGCTCGCCGAGAAATCTTCGGTGTGGAGTCTAGTTGCAATTTCTCTAGCCTTCTCCTGTAAAAGTGTGCCACTAATGGGAATGTTCTTTGCACGACAACACCGGAAAAACTCTAACACTTTGTCATTTAGTTCATCATGAGGTGTTTTTCGTAGTCTTTTTCTGT